CAACAATCTTAGTTAAATCCTCAAAAATCAATAAAACTTCGCTTTATTCACCAAAAATCCCAAAAATCATTTCCTTACTCATCATTTAAATGTTTCTCCATCAACTTAATTTATTAAGTATTCCATCCTTCATCATCAAATAATTGTCAATCATTAAAAGTCGTTAATTTATATCAATTGAAGCATTGAATTCAATTAAATGCCAACAAACACATATAAAATGATGTGTCTTTGCCTCTCATCAATAATTTCATCATGACGATCAAGAGCTTGATTTTAATTTATAATTTTATGATTATGGTTGTTTTCAATGTGGAATGGGAAGGTTTTTGAGGACATTACTTAAATGAGTGAACTTTAGTCCTAGGGAATGAAATTTTACCCTAGTTGACCGAATCTTAGTCCTAGGAAACGAAATCTTACCCTAGATGACCGAACCTTAGTCCTAGGAAACGAAATCTTACCCTAGTTGACCGAATCTTAGTCCTAGGGAACAAAATTTTACCCTTTATGACCAAATCTTAGCTTGGAGCACCGAATCTTAGCCTAGATGACCAAAACTTATACAGGAGGACCAAATCTTAGCCTAGGTGATCAAATCTGAGCCTAAATGACCAGATCTTATGCAGGAGTACTAAATCTTAGCCTAGACGATCAAATATTAGCCTAGATGACCAAATTTCTACACATATGCGGTAAATCTAGCCCAACAAAACCAAATCTAACCTAAAGGATCAAATCAAGCTCTAGAATATTATTTTTTTAGCCTAGAGAGTGAATTCTGGTTCTTAATGACCAAAAGCATATCAAATATCGAACCAGAACAAGATTTTCAACAAAACTTATCCCAGGGGTCCACTCCCATTTAACAATAATAATACATTATAATGAAAAGTCATTGTTGTTGGTATTTAAAATAAAAAAAACCGAGTCATATTTAAATTAATTGCGCTCAATTAATCGATGACAAAGTTTCTTCTTGAATTTCTCTCATTTAATACTTAGTTGTGCTTTATCATGTGCTCAATGTTGCTGGTTTATTTGATATTAAGTGGATTTTTTTAATAATGTGGTTATTGAATCTTTGAGGAAGTTAGTGATTTGTATGTGAGAACTTTGAGTTTTATTGATATTTGAGATGTCTTTTGATGAGTTTGACTACGTAAGATTATTATTATTATTATTGAGTTTTATTCACTACTTCACCTACTTTTTTTACAAGGATAAGATCTTCTGTAGGCTAAGATTTGAACCTCTTGGTAAAGATTTTTGTCATCTAAGGTAAAGATTTGGTCATCTAACCAAAGATTTTGTCATCTAGGCAAAGATTTGGTCCTCTAGGCTAAAATTCGGTAACCTAGGCTATGATTCAGTCATCTAGGCTAATATTTGGTTATTTAAAGCTAAGATTTGCTCTTTTAGGTTATGGTTTAGTCACTCCAGTTAAAATTTGGTTAAAGAGGTGAAGATTCGGTCGTCTGGGGTAAAATTTAGTCATCTGAGCTGAAATCAGTCATATACGTTTAAATTTGGTAGTACAAGGTTGAGATTCGGTTACCAAGGTTAAGATTTGGTCACTTAAGACTAAGGCTCAATAAGATTTGGCAGTAACAATAAGAAGAAGAAAAGAAAACAATGAAAGCTAATTAACTCCAAAATATGCTCAAAATTCATTAAAACTAAACATAATTAAAAATACAACCAGAACAGCACATAAACTGTTCATATTTGGATCGATAAAGAGCACTATCGGATAGAAGAAAGAAGGTGGAGAAGGTGAATGTGTGCGCTTCAATAATAATATTCCTGGCTCATCCATGTGCCATAATGAACATATATATGAGAACATAGTCGGATATAGTTCCACTTTTAAAGTATGCGTATGCATACATAATTTACAAGATACATTATAATCAAGCAGTTTTCCTGAGGAGAGAAGAAGTTTGGCTAAAAAAAACCTTCCCACTCTGCATAATGTGTGAGGCTTCTCACAATTGGAGTGGGATGAGTGGAAGTTCCTTAAAAAGATAGAAAATTTCAACACATAAAATATTTGAAAATTAAATTCAAAATAGTTTTTAGCATAGACTGAGTTCATGTTTGTCTATGTATTCGTATACACTTTTCGTCCAAGAAGATGGTCTTGACTCACTCTACTGCTTGCTTCCTCATTCTACAATCGCTGCTTACTTCCTCTCTAATTTTCTATTTTCTATGTTTTTAAATCACCAACTTTTGTGTTTCTCTTTAGATTCGCTCTTACTCACTCACTTTCTCATTTGTTTTCTTCGTGTTTTTGTTGGTAATTTTTATTTTGGAAATTACTAGCTTTTGGTAGGTTAGATTTGTGTGAAATTGGCGGGAAAATTATATTTTTTAAATGCTTTTTAAGTTTTTTTCATGATTTTTGATGTCAAAAATTAGGAAACTTTTAACCTCAGAGTTTCTGAAAATTCTAACCTCAAAAGACCTGAAGATTCTAACCTTAAAATTCCTGTTCATTACAACCTCAAAATTCCTGAAAAATCTAATCTCAAAATTCTGAAATTTCTAGAAAAATTTAACCTCAAAATTTACGAAACTTCTAACCTCAAAGTTTCTAAAGATTCTGATCTCAAAATATCTGAAGATTCTATGCTTAAAATTCTTGTACATTCAAATATTAAAATTCCTAAAATTCTAACCTCAAAATTCCTGAAATTTCTAACCCCAAAATTTCTAACCCCAAAATTTTAACCTCAAAATTTACGAAAATTCTAACCTCAAAGTTTATAAAGATTCTGATCTCAAAATATCTGAAGATTCTATCCTTAAAATTCCTGTACATTCAAACATTAAAATTCCTAAAAAGTCTAACCTCAAAATTCCTGAAATTTCTAACCCCAAAATTTTAACCTCAAAATTTACAAAAATTCTAACCTCAAAGTTTTTAAAGATTTTGACCTCAAAATATCTGAAGATTCTATCCTTAAAATTCCTGTACATTCAAAGATCAAAATTCCTAAAATTCTAACCTCAAAATTCCTGAAATTTCTAACCCCAAATTTTAACCTCAAAATTTACAAAAATTTTAACCTCAAAGTTTCTAAAGATTCTAACCTCAAAAGACCTGAAGATTCAAACTCTAAAATTCCTGTACATTACAACCTCAAAATTCCTGAAAAATCTAATCTCAAAATTCTGAAATTTCTAGAAAAATTTAACCTCAAAATTTACGAAAATTCTAACCTTAAAGTTTCTAAAGATTTTGACCTCAAAATATCTGAAGATTCTATGCTTAAAATTCTTGTACATTCCAACATTAAAATTCCTAAAATTTCTAACCTCAAAATTCCTGAAATTTCTAACCTCATAATAGCCAATTAAATTCAAAAATATCTTAGACAATCCAAAGTGCATTTATTCAGATTTGTATCAAATTCCACATAAGTAGCCTCATTCATTTACTTCCATCTCACTCACCTAGTTTCAACCTCTTCCTTAAAACATCCTCACTCAATTCGATTTTCATGAAAACGAAAGAAAAATTTGCATTTTAAATGAGGCGGTTTAAAAACTCCCACTTTTTAATATAAAATTTATTTTTCCTCCTTTTTCGTCTTTTCTTCACATCGATGATATTATGAAGATGTTTAAATGTTGTCGGACGAAAGGCAACATGACTTGGGGTTTGAGTGAACTCACTCTTTAGTTTCCATTAATTAAAATCACACCCCAAAATTATTTTCGAGCTAAAATTATTTATGATTCTAATACACACACACACACACACACATTCTCATACAGATGAGCATAAAAAATTGAAATTTTAATGTTCGAGACAAGTTAAAGACGAAGATGAGATGGGTGAGGTTGCACCTAACCCCCAAAAATATGAGGATGAGGTCAAGATTATTCAATGATGAGATTTTACAGCAGTAAATTTTGGATTTTGAGTTTGTAAATGGAAAACTTTTAAGATTGTTAATAATTGGCATGTAAATTTTGATAGTTTTGCAGTTATTTTTTACAATATTCAATCCCATGACACCTGCAATATATTCTCACAATTATTCATAATCAGCCTTTTTTATAACAAATCCATTTCCTATTTGTTTTACTTTGTTTTATAAAAATGTTGCATGCTAGCATTTTACAATAAAAAATTAAATAGTATTACACAATATAGAAATATTATTTTTCATTTCTGAATGGACTGTTTATTTTCTACATTTTTTATAACAAATTGATGGAATTGAATTGTTTGTTATGCTGGCAGTGCTGTTTTATGTTTTTTGAAATATTTTGATTGATGTAAACATTGATTTGATATGTTGAAAATAAATATAGCGGAACTGTTGGGCTGTGGGGTGGGATGATGGCATGCTTAGTGATAAATTTAATCAATTAAGGCATCTTAACCTCAAAATATGTTGATTTTTACAACCTAACCTCAAAAATTGTTTACTTTTTGCAGCCTAACCTCAAAAAGTGCTTATTTTTTGCAACTTAACCTCAAGATGTGCTTACTTCATGCAATCTTACCTCTAATTTGCTTACTTTGTGCAACCTAACCTAAAAATTTTGTTTACTTTTTGCAACCTAACCTCAAAATTTGCTTAGTTGTTGCAACTTAACCTCAAAATTTGCTTATTTTTTGCAACTTAGCCTCAAAGTTTGCTTACATCATGAAATCTAACCTTGAAAATTGTTTAATTTTTGCAACCCAAACTCAAAATTTGCTTAGTTTTTGCAACTTAACCTCAAAATTTGTTTACTTCATGCCATCTAACCTCTAAATTTGCTTAATTTGTGCAACCTAACCTTAAAATTTTGTTTACTTTTTGCTACCTAACCTTAAAATTAAAAATAAAAAAAATTTGACATCAGAACCCAAAACAATTAATCTTTAATATCAATATCTCCGTTTTATGTATACAACTTAACCTCAAAAATCAAAAAATCTCAGAAAAATTCAACTAAGAGTTAATTTCAATAAATGTTTTTTATTTCATTTCCAGTCAGACAAAATGGACCAGTTCAAAGAGTCAGACGAGTACGGTCCATGTGATAGTCCAAAGGCAAAGAAAATTTTCATAAATATGCTCGATCAGATGCATTCGCCATCGACAACAACAAAGCAACACAAAATGAAGTCCTCGGAGGGTAAAGCAATGAATATATCATCGCCATCATCATACAATAGCAGTTCGCCGTCTTCAACTTCATCATTATCGTCGACGTCTAATGTACAGCATCAGAAAAATGCAATAAGCGGACAGGCTCTTAATGGATCTAGTGAGTACATATCGAAGATTTCTTTTTTAATAATTAATGATGAGAATTAAGGAAAAATAACAATGAAGCCTAAAATTTTGAAGGCTTTTGCACCTCCTTAATTTTCTGCAGTTCTATTAAAATTAAGAATCATGTCCCTACAATGTCAAACTTCTCTAACTCCCAAAAACAGTGCAAGAAATGCTCAACCTTCCGAATTTCAGTCACCTCCAACAAATGCCACAACTAAGCACAGGATTAACTCAATTACAGCACAGATCTACCCCTTTAGGATTAAGTGGAATGAATCCCGGATCACCGCTTATGAGTGGAGGTGTACTTTTAGGGTTAGGTCTACCACAATCACCCCAGCTACCGCAATTGATTCTGACTAGTGGACAACTGGTTCAAGGAATTCAAGGAGCACAAGTTCTAGTACCAACGCCGCAAGGTTAGACATTCTAACCTCAAAATTATGAAAACATTTCTAACCTCAAAATACCAAATTTTCAGGCATAACATCACAAACAATTCTCACAATTCCCGTCTCACAGCAACTTCCGACTAGCTTAACAATCGATCAATTACTTCAAGCTCTTTCAAATGTCTCACATAAGCAGCAACAAGTTGAACAAACTACAAACACAAATCACGTACTGTCCAACGTTCCAAATTTATCGCCAAGTAAGAAAATAATTTAAAAAAAAATCTGAAAATTTGTTTCAAAATGCTTAAAAATATTCTAATTTTTGGTCACAACTTTCCACATAAATAGATCCAATTCTACTCAATTCTCACTTACTAGCGAGCGGTGCTCAACAATTACTCTCAATTCAGCCACAATTGATGGCATTTCAGCAACAGCAACAACAACAACAACAACAAGCACAGCATCACAATGAGTTCTACAGAAAGTCACAGTCGCACATACAAGAAGGACCAGAATCGCCGTCGATGCATTCGAGAAAGGATCAAATGAGCATGAATCAGTTTAAGATGAGAAATCGGGAGATGAGTAAGCGATTATCAAGGATGTCAAGGCCGCTAAATGGACATGGTGACTTGATGACTCATCATTCTAGTGGAAGTGCAGGTGGATCAACATCACCGAATGTTGGGGTGACTAGGTGAGTCAAAAAGTCCAATATACGATTTAGGCGGGAAAATTTGGATGAAGACTTAAATTTGTGGGAAAATCTGATGAAAACAAAAACTTAACCCTTTTCAGAGTTCCAACAACAAACGGTGAAACCCGTGCAAGTCCATCCAAACCAATAACAACAGAAACATCGTCGCACCACTCACCATCACACACAAAGACCTTCCAACCACCACCATCAATATCACCAACACCACCGCAACAACAAAAGTTAGAGTTTCGAGCCATGCGTGAGCTTCTAGCTGACGATCGACGTGGTGAGTTTCCAATGGATCACAGTCATTCTCAATCGGCTGAGGAAACTTCAAAGAAGAACAGTGGACATCACAGCAGTGAGAGAAGTGGCGAGAAAAGTAATCGAGGTTCGCCGTATGCTGGAAGTAGTCAGCAACAGGATAATCAGCCTATTCAGATTCCATCGTCACCTGTCAATTTATCGAATGATTCTAATTCTGGGGATGAACATTTTGGAGATGGAGCACAAAGTAAGTGTCCTGAGTTGGAATTTGAAACATAACCTCAAAAATGTTAACCTTGAAAATGTCAAATTTCTTGGAACTAACCTCAAAAATACTAATTGTAGTTCCAAAAATAAAAAACTTAACCTTAAAAAATATCAAATCTAACCTCAATTTTTTCTATGCAGACGATTCATCGTCAGCAGCACAACGTGAAAGTCTGCCGGATGGAATCGATCTAGATGAAATCAATGAATTCGCCCAAGCATTTAAGCTTCAGCGATTGTCACTTGGCCTAACACAAACGCAAGTTGGACAAGCATTGTCAGTTACAGAAGGGCCAGCTTACAGTCAGAGTGCCATTTGCAGGTAAGACTCGGAATAGGGGTTTAGGAAATAGAATTAAGGCTGGAAATAGAGAAAAGAATTAAATTTAAATAATTACTTTTGTTGGGTTTGATTTAGAAACTTTAAAAACACTGGCAAATTTTATTTACAATTGAGCTTTTTGATTTTTTAACAAAGTTTAATTAAATTCCTTACTGAGAATGCCAGGATATTTCAAATTAATTTTAAAAAATTTATTACAACAAAAAAATAGTTTTAAAAAAAAATCAAAAAAAATTGTTTTCTTAACACACAAAAAAAAGCAACAAAAAACAAATATTTAAAACTTTTTATTTATTTTCGCGCCATGCGCAGTGCCCTTGCCGCACGAATGTATGCCGCTGTTCAACTATCATCACAACAACAACAAATGTACGTAAATATATATAAAAAAAGGAGTAAAAAATGCAATTAATAATTTATCAAAGATTTATCAAAAATAAAAAAAGGTTGGAATCGTGCTTTTTATGGATGGGATGTTGGGATACTTAAGTTGAATGTGGGAGTTGAAGGAAGGGTTTGTTGATATTTTGGATTGTTGAATTTCAAAAAATAAATTAAAGAAATATTTCAAATAAATAAAAAATGTAAAAAATAGTCGAAATTTTAAAAATTCTACCAAAATTCTTTCTATTTATTTAAAATAAGTTTAAAAAAACATTAAATTTATTTTTGAAAATTTTAAATTGTATTCATTTTTTAATAATTTTCAATTTTACTCAATTTAAAAAAAATCAATTTTAATTCATTTAAAAAAATTTCATTTTTAATTAATTTTAAAACATTTAAAAACAAAAAAAAAATCCAAAAGCAGAAAAATTAAATCAAAAAATTTCCAACTTGCAAAAATCGCGCTCAAAATTCATCCGCGCAATTTTTTTCTCAATTTTTTTCTCTGAAAAAAGCTTCAAAAAAATAAAAATCTTCAGAACATGAGAAAAAAAATTGTTCATCTCATTTGTCATTCCATCTCACTTCCTCCCTCGTAAGGCATCTCGCATGCAACACCGAAGACCATTCATGCTTAGTGGGTGGATTTGCACATCGCAGAAATGAAAAAAAAAAGTCCTCTCAAATTTTTCCTCCAACTTGTGCTCATCATAATGAGGCAGAGGAAAAAAAATCCGCTGACTGCTTTTTTTCTACATTTTTTTCAGTTCCTCTCCATCACCAAAACAACAAACTCGACATTCGGCATCTGCACAATCGCACGACGTACATTAAGGTGGAGAGAATGTGTGTGTCGATGCTAGCTTTTTTTTTTCATCTCTGCGAATACTTTTTGTGTATGATTTTTTTTTTCTGCGATGCACAGCCACGATGATGATGATGATGATGGAAAAAATGAAATGTGAAGTTTTATTTTGAGGGAGCAAAAAAAAGTCGTGATGAAAAAATGAAAATCAGAAGCTTTCAATTGATGGACAGGCGATGAAATTTTTGTGTTCTTCTTTTTTTTTCAATGGCATTTTTGGGATTTCTTGTTGGTTGTGTGATTGATTTGGAATTTCCTTGATTTAGATTTTGTAATCATAAGCATTCTGACACTGAACTAAGACCCAGTCCCGAGCGGCACAAGGTGGAGGGTGGTCTCCATATGGAATCCATATGAAAGCCACCTCCACTATGTGGAAAGTAAATGGAGGGTTATTTTTTCATCCTTCATATTGATTCCATTTGGATTCCATATGAACTCCGCTTTTTCTTAAATCAAATACCGAAAAACTCGTGCTTTTGAATTTTTAAAAGACAGAGGTCAGATCTTACTGTAATGGATTAAAATATTGTCGAAAAGCTTTACTGAATCATATTGCTTCATTTCAAGCTTTAAAAAAGCAAAAAAGGATAATTTTTTGTGATTTTGTATGAAATTACATACTTCACAAGCGCATTCAGAAATCACTATTATATGGGGTCGTTTAATTTGTATGAAAATTTTTAATAATATCTTATGTTTCTCACGCGTGTGATCGAGACTTAGAAATTGCTGTGGTTGCGACTTAATTAAATTAAGTTGTAAATTTTTCAATAGTGTTAGTGTACTTTAATTAAGTCCACTAATACAGCAATATCTTGATATAAAAATTGCGAAACATAGAAAAACACGTGGAAAATCGTACCAAAAATCCTTTGAAAAATACTTCCATTAAACCTCCGTTTGACTACCACAAATGGATCCTCCATCCTCCATCAAAACCTCTCAAATGACTTCCATTTGGTGTTAATAAATGCACGTCCCACGGAGGATTTTCGGAGCTTTGGCTCCGTCAAAGTTCCATGATAGTAAGGTTTTCGGAAGATTTTCAAATGGAGGGTGGAACATGGAGGCTCCGTATAGCTTCCATATGGAAGAAAAATGGAGCCTTTGTGCCGCTCGGGAGTCCTAGTATTATTTGTTATTTAACGTAATATTTACGATTAAACTCATCCAATGAACTGAACTTATTCTTTGGAATTAAATTTATCGTTTACAATTGAATTTTACCTCAAACTGGAGTTATTACATAGAACTGAACTTATTCTTTGTATCTGATCCTATCCTCTGTATCTGAACTTATCCTTTATATCTGAACTTATCCTTTGTATCTGAACTTATTCCTTATCTTTTAACTTATCTTTTATTTCTACACTTATCTTTTTTATCTGCACTTATCCTTTGTATCTAAACTTGTCCCTTGTATTTGAACTTATCCTTTATTTTTTTCAATTATCCTTAGTATCTGAACTTATCCTTAATATCTGAACTTATCATTTGCATCTGAACTTATCCTTTGTATCTGCACTTATCCTTTGCATCTGAACTTATCCTTTATATCTGAACTTATCCTTCGTATCTGAACGTATCTTTTGTATCTGAGCTTATCCTTTATATCTGAACTTATCCTTTGTATCTGAACTAATCCTTTGTATATGAACTTATCCTTTGTATCTGAACTTGTTCCTTATCTTTAAACTTATCTTTCATTTCTACACTTATCATTTTTATCTGCACTTATCCTTAGTATCTGAACTTATCCTTTGCATCTGAACTTATCCTTTATATTTGAACTTATCCTTCATATCTGAACTTATCCCCTGTATCTGAACTTATCCTTTGTATCTAAACTTATCCTATGTATCTGAACTTATCCTTTGTATCAGAACTTATCCTTTGTATCAGAACTTATCCTTTATTTTTGCACTTATGATTTGTATCTGCACTTATGATTTGTATCTGAACTCATCCTCTGTATCTGAACTTATCATCTTTATCTGAACTTATCCTATGTATCTGAACTTATCTTTTGTAGCTGCACTTATCCTTAGTATCTGAACTTATCCTTTGTATCTGCACTTATTCTTTGTAATTGAACTTATCCTTTCATTATAAATCTATTCTTTGTGAGTTTTTTGTTTTTCAGTCAAATTTAATTTGAATTTAGCTCCATAAGCGCTTAAGGCAGACTTTCCCAAAAATTCAAATAAATTATTATTTGCCGTAGACAGGTCAAGCTTGACATCAAATTTGGTATAAGCTAGGACAACTCAAACTCAATCCATTATTTATCTAGAAAATTAAGGACGTAACATGACTAAAAAATTCAAAAAATCCTGTGAAATTGCATCTTTGACTTATCATCTCTATATTCTTCACTACTCAGCTGGCATTCATTCTACATTCTCAACATCCTTCACATCGCTCATTCCATTCAAATCATCGTAACTTAATTCCGCAATTTTTTAATTTTATTTTTCTCGACTTTTTTTCATTTCATTTCTGTAAAAAAAATCCTCTCTGAAAATTTAAACAGCGAAATTTTTTTTTCTTCCTTCGCAATAAAGTTTGTGGGAGGAGCTTTGCAGGAGCTTTTTACAATGAAAACTAAAAATCGTCGCCGATGACCGCATCTCTTTGCATGTCACTACAAAAAATTTCTTTTAAATTCTATTTTTTAATTGATTTTTTTTTGTCGGTTGTCTATCGCATCTTGAATGGCTTTTGCCGCCGCTTTGTAGTTTTTTTTTTTGATGAGAATTGATTTTTTCGGTTGTTGAGTAAATTGAAAGTGAAATTTTATCAATTGATGGATGGGAATGGGAATGAAGATTGAATGAAGGTTCTCATGTTGAAATTTAAATATTTAATTTTAAGGAAAATTAAAAAAAAGGAAAAAAAATTCTCAAAACTTGATTTTTAAGAAAAAATGAAAAAAAATAATTTTTTCCAAATTTTCATAAAAACCATAAATTAAATTTAAATTGAATATTCAACAATTTTATTTCTAAATTAGAATTTCAGGCAATACAGAGTGAATGGCCAGGGCATTGCAATATATTTTCTTAAATAATTTATTATTTAAATGTTTTTAAAATATAGAATTTAAATTACAATTAGTGACAAAAAAACTTAAATTAATTTAAATCTTGTAGTATTAATTTTACCTTAAAAAATGTCCTGGCATTCCGATTTTACCAAATTAGATTTTCAAATATGAGGAGTAGATCATGGATTAGTATATTCAATAATAAAATATTAAAGTCAAAACAAGGAATTTCAAAAGAAACCGAAAAAAGTCAACTTTAAACACAAAATGCGAAATTTGATATTTTTTGATAAATCTTTGATATTAAATACAGCATAAATTTATAAAATATCATTTACTTGATCATATTTTCATTCATTTACGCATCCTAGGTTCGAGAAACTCGATATTACACCGAAAAGTGCCCAAAAAATCAAGCCTGTTCTTGAGCAGTGGATGAAAGAAGCTAAAGGAAGGTAAACTATCAAAAAAAGCCTAAAATTAACTTCAAAATCAAAAAATAACTTAAATTTTCATTTTTTTCCATTTCTTTTCTTTAAAAAATTTAAATTCAACTTTGTAGCAGGTTCAAAATGGGTGAGAATCCGCTCACTGAATTTATGGGCGTTGAGACATCCAAAAAGCGAAAACGAAGAACGTCCTTCACGCCGCATGCACTTGAGATTTTGAATTCAAGTTTCGAGAGGAACACACATCCGTCAGGTGAGTTGAAATTAATTCTAAAAACTGAACTTGTCCTTAACAATAAATCTATCCATTACATCACACTTGTTCTTGATCTGGACTTTGCGTACTGAACACAACTCATTTTAAGAATTGAACTATTCTGTAGTACCGAAACTACTCTTAGAACTAAACTTACTCTTTGAACTAAATGTCTCTTTAGAATTAAACTCATCCTTCAGATATTGTTGATAGAACTGAACTTATTCTTCAGAAATTTAACAATTCCTTGAAACTCATCCCTTAAAACTGAACAAGACCTTCGATCTCAACCTTAGAACTAAATGTGTCCATAAAACTAAACTTATCCACCATTAACTGAACTAGTCCTTAGAACTTAAACTTTCCTTTAAACTGAACATGGATTTTCTTAGTTACTTCCTTTGCTAGCGCGCTCTTGAAGAACTGAGCATATCCTTAATATCGCGCTATTACGAAGAACTAAACTTGTCCTATTGAACTGAACCTATCCTAAGACATTAACTTGTTCTTAATATTGAATCAAGATTTAATTTAATTTACGTTTGCAACCAACAGGAACGGATATAACATCGCTAGCACAAGCTCTTGGCTACGAGCGAGAAGTAATTCGAATATGGTTCTGCAACAAGCGTCAAGCACTCAAAAATACAGTCAGAATGATGTCCAAGGGGATGCCAAATTAAACATTGTTTTTATCGATAAGTTCAATTTAGTTTTTAAGTGAACATTTAAAAAATATATTTTTATATAATTTTGAACAAAATGCTTTCAGTGCTATGCGCAAAAAAGATAAGAAATTTGTAGATTTCATTCCACTAAGAATTTTCATGGAAAATAGTTTTTTAATGTGATAAGTTGAATAATTTTTACTATTTTATGAAATTTTAAGAAAGTTTTTTTGACAATTTTTTTTTATTTTTTATCAAATGTTTTTGAGTTTTTTTAAAAATACAAAAAGTTTTTTGCCATACAAATTTTTATTTTTAAATCAAAAAGTACAATTTTTTCAAAGTTGCAACTGAATATTGTAAATTTAATTGACATAGAGTTCAAAAATCGAAGAAAACAGTGTTAGTAATTTTTTACTAATTAGCCACCGAAAATGCCATTAAAAATATCTTTTAAAATTAATTTGTAATTCTTCATACTTTTTAATTTGGTTTCAAAAAAGATATAAATACAAGTTTTGAGGTTATAAATTTAAAAATTTTGTTCTCGATTTTAAAAAGGGGTCAAGTTTTTAAAATTTTGAATTTACATTTGAAATTAAACTCCAAATTAAAATTTTTTCAAAGAATAACCTCAAAATTTTAATTTCCGTAAATATTTGTTTTTAAAAATTGCAACAATTCAATTGTAAATAAAACTCAATGGAACCATAAAAAAACGTCCAACTTTAAAAGAAAAAACAGAAAAATTATTAAAAAATTTTAATAAAAAAAATAAATTTTAATATTAAGTAAATGAAGGAGTTCTTCAACTATCAGCTGTTGTTTCGGCCCTCAAAAAGTTCCTAAAACGTTTTTTTAAACAAATTTTTGTCTTTCGAAATTGAAGGAAATTTTTTTTCTAGTAAATCAAACAAAATTGAATTTTTAGGCGAATAAAAAAATTTTGTGTCACAAAAAAATAAAAATAAAAATTCTTCCACGTGGAAGTTCAAAATGCTCCTTCAAAAAAAATTAAATTATTAAATAATGGAAATGATTTGTACAAAATACAGGAATAGAAATTTTATGAAGATAAGAAATTAAAATTATATAAAATGTGAAAAAAATGATTGAAAAAATACGGTAAATTCAACTTAAAATTCAACAAGAAAATTTAAATTTATAACTGAAATTGTTTTTCAAGATACTTTTGAATTTTTAAAAATTATTTGAATTGAAAACATAATTTTTCGATAATTAAAATTATTTTTTTAAACTTTATTTTTTTCTTTTTAAAGTGAAATTTAAAAATCCTTTTTTTAAAAAAAAAATCTTTTTATAAAAAATGTTTAAAAGCAAAAAAACTGAAATTTAAAAGTTAAGACTTTTATGAAATTAAAATAAAAAATTGTAGCCATTTATCTATAAATAAATCTGAAAAAAAAATAACGAATTATCGAGAAATTTCAATGATTTGCTTAAGATTAAACCAATTTTTAAATAATTTTCAGAAATTTTGCTGTCAGAATGTTGAAAATGATTTTTTTTAAGATAATATAGTTTTAAAATTTTTTATATCGACATGCAAGGCTGGGTAATGGCCTTCTAAGCCGTAGCTTTAGTATTTTGCTCCCATTTGATAGGATTTTTGAAATTTTCTTCCCATTGCTACGCCACTGATGGATTTTAAACGGAAACTAAATTTAGCATTTACTGATTTGAACCTAAAATCAATGAAAATTCCTAATAAAAAAATTAATTCCAATAGCCAGCCACTCCTAAAAATAAAACTCAATTCAAGTCACCAATCCATATCCAACAATAACATAGCTTCAACCCCTTTAAGTACCTGCAACCAGAAGCATCATCATTAATTCTGATAAGAATTGAAACTTTTATTTTGCAGGTAAAAATATTATTTTAAAGTTTCAGGTCCACGCCTTCATTGCTGCAGATTTAAAGTTGTACGATACAGTCACTGCTACAGAAGCTAAAGTGAAGCATTTATAATTTAAAAAAACTAGAAGATTAATTTTATAGATTTTTTTGAATTCCTAAAACTTTAGCTTAATTCTACTTAAAGGTTATGAAACTTTTTTGTGAAAAAATTGATTTAGGAATAAAGTGATGATTTTGGATTGGAAGCATCTTTGAAACAGCGAAAAAAATATTTGAGCATTTAAATAAAATAATTCAAAATCTAGTCAAAGCAAATATCAAAAAAATAAAATTTTAATTATTTCTAATCATTTGTCACAATTTATAAACTGCAAAGTTGTAAAGACTTAAATACAAATGTCAATTATCGAAAAAATGGAATGTGAGAGTTGGAACAAGTTTGCAATGGCTGAAGGCGTCGGCTTTGGAGGCAAGTTAAGCTTGAACTTTTCATTAAAATTTTTTTAAAAATGTTTCTTTTGAATTTTATTAATTCTTCATCATTAGCTTTAAGCTGACCAATAGCGTAGCAAGGAATTTGGTCCAATAAAAGGCACTCAAATTTTTGATTTGGCTTTTCGTGACAAAACTTCTTGATGCGCCCAAGGTCAGCTTTTGGCATATATAATGTCGAATAAAGACCACTTCTGCCTTAAACTTGATTATTCGTAATGCTTAAAAGTAAAATCTTTAAAATTAAATAAAAAAAAATGCAAACTTTTCAAAAATACTTTGATTTAAATTAACCTTAACAGACCTTAACAATTTCAATGCCATCAACAACTTCCACGATGATTTTTCCAATGACTCAGCAGCATCATCACCTGCAAACTCATCAATGTCATGGGATGAGCCACAACTCAAAAAGATTCGTTTAAATCGCGATGACTGCAAAATTTACGGCAATAATCCAAGCGAAGAAAGCTTCACTCTAGTGACGTGCAATAAATGTGGATTAGTGCTGAAGCAGCAAGCACTTTTTGAGCATTTCGAGAAGCGTCATGCGACAATTGTGGATGATATTGATTCTAAATTGTATCAAATTGATGAAGTTCATGTAGCTAAGCGTAGACGATTTGACATTGGAACTGAAATATCAGCAAAAATTGTCATGAATATTGTTCAGGACGCGATGGATGTTGAAGAGCTTCCGAATGAATTCAGAAAAATTACGTTAAAGTTGAGGAGAAATTCCGGTCAATGGTCTGTTGTTGGATGCTGAATTTTTGAGAAATTTGAGGCTATTGTAAATATTTTGAGTATTGTTGTTAGTTTTAGTGTTTATTTTTGAACCTAGAGGTTGGATTCTAGGGCTATACAGGCTGGTAAGCAACCTTCAGAGAGCTTTTTGGGGCATTGCAACATTGGAATGCTTAGTAATCATTAGAACCAACTTGAGTTTACTTTGAATCATTTTAAACCATTTTTGAGTATTTTTGTTCCTCAACATCGTTTTTAAGGTACAGTTTGACACTTAAAAGACCTTATGGCCTTACCTTATGCCTGATTGTGTCTGAGCTACTTTGTAAATATTTTTTTTTAATTTTAAAATAAAGCATGAAACAAGTTGATGACCATGAATAGACTAATTTACTTTCCAAAGCACATTAAGCAGCTTTATTACACTTTACAGTTTCAATTCTCATCTCAGCCAGTGCTCATCTCCGAAAATCATGAGCAACTTAATCTCAATTTTTCCTCAAAACTTCATATTTTTGTTCACAATTTTGAGTTTGATCGACTTTAACTCATTTCAATTCACAAACTGCAAGTATTTGAGATGTCACTTTATTCAGCATGACTTAATATCCTACAAAACATCTCACGATTATGAACCTGAAGCACCAGTATTGCAAGTTGATCCATCGATTGAAATATTCAGACATTATCATCAGACGAAATATTGTGAAAGTTATGTGTCCATTGTGAATTTAAATAACGAGGATCTACAGAAAGTCACTGACTGCACGACAATTGACTTTAACAGGCTTAATCTTGAGATTATCGAGTTTGAATTTGGAAATGAATTTTATCATCTGCAAGGACTGGCATTTGACAATAATAAATTAAAGGAATTTCCAAATTTCTATTTAACAAATTTGCCAAATTTGAGGAAGTTTTCAGCAAAAAATAATTTCTTAGAGGTTTTGGACGAAAATTTTTTCAAGTGCAACAAAAAACTGAAAATTGTGAATTTTTCTGGAAATCTTTTAAGAAGTTTGTCGCCTAATTTATTTATAAACCTGAAAAAATTGATAAAACTTCAATTTTATGAGAATTTTTGTATAAATGCTGGATATCCTGAAACTTCAATGGAGGATTTGACAAGAAATGTAAAAGATAATTGTAACGAGGAACTGAATATGATTGAATTTGTGAAGAACTTAGTGCTGTCATCAGCTGATCTAAATGAAACTAAGGTAAGAATTGTGAGTTTTGAATATTAGCAGCGTATAATACTGCAGCAGCAGGCTCAGTACATCTTTTACCGATGCATAGCATCAAAAAGAGATGGTTAGTTCCCTTGTTCCTAGCACGACAGCTCTACAATCTCATATTACTCAGATAACATAAAGAATTCATCATGAATTCTATAGTTTGCAATTTTTTCTATCAAATTCGAGCTTTCCTGGCTATTCATCAACCAAAGTTGGTTCTTTTCACATTTAAGCTATTCAGAAGAGCTGATTTGAAAGCTCATTTGACTGCTTCAGCTTAATTTGCTAGCTTATAATTAAATTTTTCTTACAGACTTTCATTTATTTGCTTCATAATTCATCAGCATCCAACAACAATCTGCCAAATTTGACAGAATCATTCTCAAACCTCATTAAATCTTCAACTCACACGTCAAATTCATCAAACTTACTAAGCGACCATCCTGTTAAGCTGACAGAAATCTTCAAAAACATCATCAAGTCGCCAAAAAATCAAGAAAATTTATCAAAAATCTTCATAAGTTCCCCAAAAATCAACCAAAGCTTCAACACATCTTTCAACTCCATTGCTGACCATGACAACAAAACCACCACAAGCTCTCAAAACTTCAACATGGAAGAGCTAATTGAAGTGCTTTTCTGGATGATTATTCCAATAACTTTACTTCTATTCATCATTTTGACTTTGATTTCATATGCAATTTACAAAAAGTACGTCACATTCTCAACGGCGTCAAGAAGTCGTGGTGAAGTTCATTCGTTGTGCTTGCGTGGTCTAGACGTCTACTGATAATTACAAGGAGCTTAATTCAAAGAATTTTGCCATTCATGCAATAGAGTTGGATTAGATATGGTTGAGATTAGCGCTTAAATTGTCAATTTTGTAGATTCTAAGCATTAATAAATAATTTTATGAAGCTTAACCTAAAAAAATCAATCCCGTCCCCCCATGATCCCCCTCAAATCCACCAATTCAATCAATATTCCCCACAATTTTCATTATTCTCATTATTGATCACATTTGAGTCTTTCCACACCAATCACCATTATTCTTCATCCCATACACAGCTTCTACTTTGCCAAGGCACAGACAATAAATAAATTTCATTACCAATTCCTGTTCACAGACCACCAAATAAGTTCATTAAGTCTTATCAGCATTATGCAAATCGGATATGTGAGGGGCACAAATGTGTAAAATTAAAATTTATTCAAATTGGCAACTCAACGTACAATTTTTTTTTTCTTCTCATCTTTCTCTCTGGTTCTGTGTTGCTGTAGAATGGAACTGCTACATATAAATAAATAAATAAATAAATAAACATAAACTTATAAATAATGAAAAATACTGGGATGACAGGGTTGGGGTAAAGTTTTGAAGGTTAGGTTCAGATTTTTGGGTTATTTTATATTTTTTGATTTACAATATTGCTGTTATTGTAATTGTGAGTTTCTTGTGTTTAATAGAGCTTATTGCTAGTCTTTTCTTGTCTATTCGTGCTAAATCGTTTTTAATCGTGTTTAATCGTGTTTAATCGTGTTTATTCGTATCTGTTCGTGTTTCCTCGTGTTTCCTCGTGTCTACTCATGTCTCCTCGTGTCTCCTCGTGTCTACTAATGTCTACTCGTGTCTACTCGTGTCTCCTCGTGTCTACTCGTGTCTATTTGTATCTGCTCGTGTCTCTTCATGTCTTCTTGTACCTGCTCGTGTCACCTTGTGTCTCCTCGTGTTTCCTCGTGTCTACTCGTGTCTCTTCGCGTCTACTAATGTCAACTCGTGTCTCCTCGTGTTTACTCGTGTCTACTCGTGTCTGCTTGTGTCAACTCGTGTCTCCTCGTGTCTCCTCGTAACTGCTCGTGTCTCCTTGTGTCTCTTCATGTCTTCTCGTATCTGCTCGTGTCACCTTGTGTCTCTTCGTGTCTCCTTGTGTTTCTTCGTATCTCCTCGTGTCTCTTCGTGTCCACTCGTGTCTACTCGTGTCTCCTCGTGTCTACTCGTGTCTCCTCGTGTCTTCTAATGTCTACTCGTGTCTCCTCGTGTCTACTCGTGTCTAATCGTGTCTGCTTGTGTCAACTCGTGTATCCTCGTGTCTCCTCGTAACTGTTCGTGTCTCCTTTTGTCTCCTCGTGTCTCCTCGTGTCTACTAATGTCAACTCGTGTCTCTTCGTGTTTACTCGTGTCTACTCGTGTCTGCTTGTGTCAACTCGTGTCTCCTCGTGTTTCCTCGTATCTCCTCGTGTCTACTCGTGTCTATTTGTGTTTACTCTTGTCTACTTGTGTCTACTCGTGTCTACTTGTGTCTACTCGTGTCTACTAATGTCTACTAGAGAGCTTAATTGTGTCTGTTGTAGTCTTTTCTACTTTATTCATGTCTACTCAAGTCTATTTGGTTTCACATGGTTCCAATTCAGTTATTAAGTCTGATCGTGTATTTCAGTTTCTATAGAGACATAATCAGATCTATAAGCATCTATTCGAATGCTCTAATCACACTAATCATCAGTTTTAGCGTAAAATGTCACAAAATACACGCTTACATCATCAAAGTCAATCCAACCCTGAACCGATATCGACTCTATCCTCCACTCTACTCTCTTTTCATTTTTAATACAATTTAATTAAAAAGGGAATTTTGCTTCTTTTTTATGTTCAATTGCATAATGAGATGCATGAAACTTTTTTTTTTCATTCTTTCTGCTGATTTTCTTCGTCGCTTTTTTTTTACTTACGTCTTGTGCACATTTTTCTCCACAATCTGCATTATTTCACATGCAAATGATGGTCATTTTTACATTCAAATGAAATTTATTCGTTTCTGTCTTTTGCATGGTTTTGCCTTTGATGGAGATTTGATTTAATTTTTTTTTTGCAGCTTTGCTGTGACTTTGTTGGGATTTTTTTTATTTTAACTTTGTACTGATTCGATGAGAACGCTTTGATGGATTAGATTAATTAGAATAGACTAAGTCTGCAATGCGCTTAAGTAATTGATAATCTGATAAGAGATGATAAAGAAATATATTAAAATTATAAGTTTAAATTATTGCGCAGTATCGCACTCAACCTTTAAGAGGAATCCCCAAAACTCGTGTATTATTGTCAGTTTGTTTACAAAATAATAATTCCATATTAAAATTTTATGAGAATATTTGTTCACTCATTCATCAATTTGAGATAATTACACATTTGATTTACTGCTGTGTCTGACAAATTGTATGAAAAACCTGTTTAGAACTTATTTGCTAATGTAGCAACTTTTTTATAGTAATTGTAGTGTTGATGTCGTTAATTTAAAGCAGTGGTGGACAAACTGTTTATCGCGGCATACGGGTGTGCTTCAGAAAAAATCAGAACGAACGTCACGCTGTGCACGGTTTCGGTCTTAAATTCTGAGACCAACAGTTTTTTAAGAAAAGGTTTAGGGGTCGTTCACTTATGACGTCCAACATTATCATAGGAGAGTGGGGGGGGGGGGGGGGGGGGAGGAAGTCAAGAAAATTTATGAGACTCATTGTGGTAGGGGAGGAAAGGGGCAGGAAATTTGTGACATCCAATTTTTTTCCAGGAAATTATAATTTTTTGCGTCTTGGATTTGACGGGTGGGGTAGGGTATTAACATCTGTGACAGTTTCGTGACAAAAGGGGTAAGGGGGTTGAAAAATTAGGTTTTTTGATGGACGGCATAAGTAAATGGTCACTTAGCAATTTACAATAAATCATATAAATTTTTGGTGAGAGCCACCCTACCTCGGCCCTGTCAATATCTCAATCTACTTAAAACTTCTTAGGGTCCGTTCACTTATGACGTCCAGGAAGGGGGGGGGGGGGGGGGGGGCAAAGGAAACAAACAACAGAAATTCCTCGAAATCCATTGTTCTTTTTTGAAAAATGTCCGTTAATATTGGACGTCATAAGTGAACGGCCCCTTAAAAAATCCCACAGCTGAACTTCGCTAAAATAACAATTATTTTCACACTTATTACATCCATCCATAGAACGTTAGCTGTTATAAAAGGTGTATAAACCTTTACAACGTGCAACACACAAAAGCCGATACATAAACAATAGGAACAAGACAAAAAATAGAAGATACACAGCCAAAGGTCATAAAAAACTATAAAATCAATAAAAAATCTTCTCGCGCTCGTCAGTCGCGTGTTGAAATTTGATGAATTAAATTCTAAGAATGAATTTTGAGAAATTCTGGAAAGTTTTGTTGTTAATTAATGTTTCATTATTGGCAGCTCATGCACAGTACCAAAGTGCAACATGTGAATATAAAATTGATGAATTCGATGAATACAAATGTGAATTAACGCTGAACATTCCGAACGGAATTGCACTTATTGATGAAATTCGAGGAACGCACGAGGAAAATAAAACTGATGAAGATGTGACAATTATTGAAACTACATTCGTGTCCAGTGCTGAGTACATTCCGTCCATAATTTGTGACAGATTTAAAAATGTTGAGAAACTTTTTATTCAAACTGGATTGGAAAAAATTGACACAAAAGCTTTAAAAAGTTGCAAAAATCTTCAGCATTTGAACCTGTTTTTTAATAAAATTCGTGAAATTTCGGAAGATGCTTTTGTTGAGAATACGGAACTGAATTATTTGGACATCAGAGGGAACCAGCTGACAACTTTACATCCAAAGTTATTCAAAAACCAAAACGAAAGCTTGAAAACTTTGCATCTTCAAGGAAATCCAAATTTGTTGCTTTCTTCTGAGTTGTTCAAGTCATTGTCAAACCTAACATCATTAAGCCTCAGCTCTTACCATCCTGGATGGTTCAGCACACTCGATAGCCTTGAGGAACTCTATCTTGGACCTAGCGACAACATAGAACTTCCAAAAAGTCTCTTTAGCTCCCTCAAAAGCTTAAAACTTTTGTCATTAAACGAAAAAAATCTCACAACTCTTCATGCTGACTCATTCGGTGATTTACCAAATTTATCACGTCTGTGGCTTAAAAATGGAAGAATTGAGGCAATTGATGAGAAAATATTCAAACAAACTGGAATTAATGATATTAATTTAGAAGGCAATGTGTGTGCTGATGATAGATTTATTGGTGATAAAAGTGAGATTATGAAAAAGTTGAGGAAGTGCTTTGATAATTATAGAAACAGAAAGAACTAAGTTAAGATTTGTAAGAGATATGTGAAGGATGTGGAATTTATTGATTAATTCTGCATCATCGGAATATGTTAATAATAAAAGTTAATTAAAAATTTAAGTTTTAAGAAAGTTTTGGTTAAGTTTTGAATATCTTCAGGTTCAGTGACGGTCATGTACTGTTTCAATATAGGTCTGGTCATCTATATAATTATGTGTAGTATTACTTCGGTTTCCTTACAGTTAAATTGTGTTCCTTAGATCTTTTTTGATCAAAGACATTCCTGGATGGTAAGCCATGACAAAAACCGTACACGGTTCGTGAGATTTTCTGATTTTTCTTTGCAACACATGGTTTACAATTTACTGCTTTAGACGTCATCTGAAGCCGTTTCTTGCCATTCGTTGTCGTATTTTAATTCTGAGGGTGTCATTGTGTGACTTGTTAAGCCATCCAATGTAATTCCAGTTTTAAATTATAATTCAAAAACTAATGATCTTGCTTATTTTGGATTTATTAGATAATTCGACAATTCAGAGTGGCTTGATGGTCGAATGATGTAACAAATCGCTTTGGTCCCGATTCAAACGCTTGAAATGATGTCTAGTTGCCTCTTGGTAAAGACGACAAATAACAATTTTTTGGGAATGTTTCTGAAATTGTAATTAGTCGTTCCTACGTCTGGTTATTTACTAGACATCATATCAAAGCAATGATGACTTTGAATTATAGCAAAAATGACAACCTTTTCTGGATGCTGAAGACTATAATATCGTCAAAAAGCAGGACTTGCCGTGGTGCTGCTGTATGTTTTATCTGATCAGAAAATTTAAGGTTTTTTTTCAACAGGTCAGATCAGGCAATTCATTTTATGTGGATAATCCGATCAGTGAATAATCTACCTTAGTGAAACAGGTGAAAAAGCTCATGTCAGAAACGACAAAAGTAAAAACAAAAGTAATTTACCTAAAGGTTCATCCCGATCGTGAATTGAACCTCCCAAACTCACGAATTTCATATTGAAAGCTTCAAGTTTTATTAAAGTTTGGCATTTCTTTCATCACTTCCTTTACATTAACTGGTTCTTCTCTATAAATACTTAATAAAACAATTATCAGATTTTCGTAGGGGAGGGGGGGGGCTATGCCCTATGCCCCCCCTGGCTACGCCCCTGAGTTCAATAATTTAATATCAATACCCAAATATCCCTGATTGCAAATCCCAGCAATTTCCAATGAAAATTTTATTTCATTTAATTTCCAAATTCAAAAAAAAATTATCATTTTTTGCTCATCCCTTCCTTAAAATCAAAATCTTGTTTCTGTTGTTGTTGTTCTGACTAAATTCGTAAAATACATAACATAAAATTTCGTTTCGGAAAAACTTGCATCTCTAATTATATTTTCGTCTCTCATTTTGCATGAATATATAGATTTCTAAAACTACCAGAAAATTTATATTTTCCATCCTGTTTTGTAGATGTAGACATAGAAAATTTTATATTTTCTCCATTATCCTTCACTGCATTTCTAAATTTTCCCGAGTATGAATAATGTAATTCTAATACATTCACTTGATTCCTTTTTTTGCCACCATCCAACCCTCTTTCCTCTAACTATATCCAATAAAACATTTCAAAAATGTTTCGACTGCCTGCTCTCTTCGGCATAGGAACAGAGGAAAGGAGAAAAAAAAATTGAAATAACCATCTAACATCACATATCACACAAGTTTTTTGGCTATAAACGAAGTACTTTCTTCTTCTTCGTACTCGTCCTATTAAATTGTATCTATGGAACATTAGTGGAGATTTCATACGTATGTGGTGTCTATAGTTTGTTATTACTATGTGAAAACTTACAGTTTGCCTACACTTTTCCTGTTTAATACTTTGTGGAGCCTTCACACACTAAATTATTGGGTTCGTGATGATGAAATTGAGGTATTTTCGCATGTTCTTATAAATTTCTAGAGATTGATATTTCAGGGTAAAGTAAGCACTTGCGCAAATGAAGACCGATTCAGTCGCATGAAAACTGAACCTAATCGAATGAAAACCGAACCTAATCGAATGAAAACTGAACCTAGTCGAATGAAAACCGAATTCACCCGAATAAAAACCGAACCTAGTCAATTAAAAACCGAACCTAGTCGATTGAAAACTTAACTTGCCTGAATGAAAACCGAACTTACCTGAATGAAAATCGAACTTACCCGAATCAAAACCGAACTTAGTCGAATGAAAACCGAAATTAGTCTAATGAAAACTGAATTTACCCGAATGAAAACCGAACTTACCCGAATGAAAACCGAACCTACCCGAACGAAAACCAAACCTAGTCGATTGAAAACCGAACTTACCCGAATGAAAACCGAACTTAGCCGAATGAAAACCGAACCTAGTCGAATGAAAACCGAACTTACCCGAATCAAAATAGAACTTACCCGAATGAAAACCGAACTTACCCGAATGAAAATCGAACCTAGTCGAATGAAAACCGAACCTAGTCGAATGAAAACCGAACCTAGTCGAATGAAAACCGAACCTAGTCGAATGAAAACCGAACTTTGTCGAATGTAAACCAAATTTACCTGAATGAAAACCGAACTTAGTCGAATAAAAATCGAAAACAAAACCTCAACTTTAATAAATGAAACTCAAATCCTCCAACAATCTAAAAAATTGCAATCAACACCAAAATCCTCACATTTCAACTTCACCAACCCAAACATAATTTTTGCTCTTCACCCACACCTAAAATTTCCAAAAATATTGAAAAGAAAAATAGTCAACTCACTCCACAATTCAATCATCCACCACCAGTACGACTTGCCCTGCTTGGATGAATATATATTGTACATACTTTATTCCACAGATATTTTCATTTTCCTACCTCCTTTACTTATATTTTTGTTGTGACTCTCTCATGTTCCTCGAGAGCACCCCACACCATTTCATATCTTTTTCTCATCGCCACATCACATTAGCATATTCTAATTTTCATAAAACTAATGCTCTCGTTTGCACTCAATGGACATAGAAAATTAAATGGAATGGTATGAGGTGACATTAAAAATGGGGAGGGAGTCAAAAAGAGATTCTTGCATGTGTATTGTGTGTATGTGCTGCATTTATTGTGTAGGTGCTTGCCAATGTTTGCTTCTTTTCTGTTGTGCCTTTCTTCTTCTTATTTTCTCATTGCTGTTGCTATATAGCTGGATGCCCTTCTCAGTCCATTCACATTTTATTTTGAGAGGTAAAGTGTGTAAAAGATGGGAAAAATTTTACTCGTGAGTGAGATGGAGATAAAAAGAGAGAGGAAAATTTTGAGAGAAAGAAACGAAACTTTTCATTTATTTTCCATTGAATTAGAAAACTACTTTCAGTCATAGGTGGTGGAAATGGAACATTTTTGCATAGATTTTTGGAGGTGGGGTGAGATTGAAAAGGTAGGAAAAAGTATCACAAATACAATTATTTATTAGGTAAAAGGGATGGTAAGTTTTGAATTAGTTTTTGTAAATTTAACTTCAGCTCCACTTTAGAAGATCTAACTCAGCTCGACTCAAGTAAATCCAACTTAGCTTGACTCAAGTAGATCTAATACAGCTTGACTCAAGAGTATCGAACTCGGCTTAACTTAAAAGTATCTAACTTAACTTGACTCAAGTAAATCCAACTCAGCTTGACTCAAGTAGATTTATCTCAGCTCGACTCAAGTAAATCTAACTCAACTTGACTCAAGTAGATCTAATGCAGCTTGACTCAAGAGTATCGAACTCGGCTTAACTTAAAAGGATCTAACTCAACTTGACTCAAGTAAATCCAATTCAACTTGACTCGAGTAGATCTAATTCATCTAGACTCAAGGAGATCTAATTCAGCTTGACTCTAGAGTATCGAGCTCGGTTCAACTCAAAAGGATCAGCTTGACTCAAGAAAATCCAACTCAGCTTGACTCAAGTAAATTCTACTCAGCTTGACTCAAGTAGATTAAACTCAGCTCGACTCAAGTAAATCCAACTCAGCTTGACTCAAGTAGATCTAATTCATCTAGACTCAAGTTGATCTATCTCAGATTGACTCAAGTAAATCCAACTCAGCTCGACTTACGTAGATTTAACTCAGCTCGACTCAAGTAAATCCAACTCAGCTTGACTCAAGTAGGTCTAATTCAGCTCGACTCAAGTAAATCTAACGCAGCTCGACCCAAGATTCAGCAAGAATCCACTCCTATAATAATCTAGTCATTCGCATACACACATCCACATCCTTACACACATACACATTATAAAAAACTTGTATTATGTTTAGACAATTCATGTGGATGAAGCACACATAGAATGGAAATCTATAGCCAGCAAGCTCTAGAATATAATTAATTAATTAAAATAGATTTGCAATTCTGTGGTCGGTCGCCTTCTTTCTATTTTATAAAAGCCCATTCTCATCTTTTTGTTTTCTCACACCAAGTCGATCCAGGCCTTCGTCCTGACATGTCATATAATCATAATAACTTTGCTTGTTGTTTTACGGGCTGAAAACTTTTTGCCTGCCTGTATATTATTGCCTGCTACTGATTCCGTTGATGCTATTGTTATTCATTTATGTTGTCTTCTCGTCTCATTTTTGGGTGTTGGGTGGTGATTTTAGAAAATTTTATACTTTATAAATTGGTTGATATTTTTAACTGGAAGATGGTTCAGAGGTTAGGGTGTGGGTAGAATGAATTTGAAAATGATGGAAGCTTCTTGATTTAAATATTTGTTGGGAGTTTGGTGGGTTTCCTGTGAAAATGATAGCAACATCAAGCAGGGACGTAGCCAGAAAATTTTTAAGGGGGGGGGGGCCATTTTCGAAAATTAAAAAACCGTTATTAGGTCTTTTAAGCATCGATTAGGTCATATAGAGACTCAGATATAGTTTAAAATGATTTTATTTCATACTGTTGGGCCAATTAAGTACAATAGAGCTTTAAACGATCTGATGAGATTCTTAAGAGTCAGATTGAAACCGTTGGATTCTAATCAAGGTTCTTAGCTTTACTTTACCTCTGTTTTCTCATCAATTGATACAAAAATGACACAATACACACCATTTTCTGACCTTTCCTTATCTCCAAATCCTTCCTTTCTTCTCCATCAAGTAGCATAATAGTTCAGAATTTTATTAGGCAGAGTAGAGACTAAATAACATGCACAACTATCTGAGATGAAAATTTCCTACTAGGTACGAGAAGATGCACAACACATCTATGCTAATAGATTCATTTTGGATGGAAAAATTTTTGCATTGGAAATTTTTCTTCTTATTTTTTTTGGGGGGGGGGGGGGAGAGCTGTATGGGAATGAGTTCATGTTGTTTTGATTTTATAATATTTTACTTATAATATAGATTTTATATTATGAATTATTGAGCGATGACGAATAATTTTTCTTAGTTTTCGGTATAATCAAAAATCGTAAAATGGGCAGTAAAATGACTAAATTTTATTAAGTACAAAAATGCATTTACATCCTCAAAAAACAAAAAAAAAAACATGATGCAAAAAGATCTAGACATTTACGCATAGGCAGATGAGATGCACAACTACATCTGCAAAAATAAAATATTCGAGCATAAAATTGCATATAAAATTAAGGTGGAAAGATGTAGAATAGACAGGCATGAAATGACAATGGACCGAAAGGAATTTTTGACGCTAAACAAATTTTCCTTCCTTTTTTTGGGTTGGCATTTTATCTGAAAAATAAGGCATAGAGTTGGGTGGTAAATGAGATAGATTTTTGAGTTCTTTTTATGGGTGTCATGCATATTCACAATATAAATTTATTTGGACATGCATTTTATATTAGGATGACAAAAATTTCTTGTACATCATGTGAGAGGGGTTTGGATGCAACTAGAAGGAATTTGAATTTGAGGTAACTTTTTAGACTGGGAAACTATTGATTGTAAAATACTATTAGACATTGTTTAAGAAACACTGCACTACACCAAAAGTCAACATCTAGACCTTCTTGGGTTATCCTTCTTAAGTTTCAAAATATTTTTTTTTATATCATAATTTGAAGGACATTGCTTGAAGTTAAAGGTAGGGCTAGATAACGTCTCAAGAGAGTTTGACGATCAACTGCCTCTTCAGAAGTGGATTTTTTTGGTATACTTCTACCAAAATCTAGAGCAGTGATGGACAACCCATGTGTCGCGGCACATTAATGTGAAAGTATATGCTGTGTGCGGTTTCGGCTTCTGGCTCATCATCAATTTGTGCTTTGATACAAAAAATGTTGCGCACCACTGCCTTAGAGATAACGCCATCCATACCTTAAACCTGCACTTTTTTCTACTTACTTACTTTACTTACTTCCTTGGCTGGAGCCACGTGGGCCCATTGTCGCACTTAGAAATCGTCTGATGACAGCTCTATCCTTAGAAACCTTCTGCCAGTTTGGGATATTAAGGACTCTAGCGTCCTTTTCAACACATCCAATCCACGAGATCTTCGGTCTTTCTCGTGATCTCTTGCCATCCATAAAGTCTGCTACGGTCACTTTCAGTACTGAGGCATCTTGAGAGCGTCTGAACACATGCCCAGCCCATCTCAAGCGACTTATACGGAGAACTGTATCAATATCAGCTTCCTGAAATAAATGATATAACTCAGCATTATGTCGACTTCGATACTCTTCTCCTTCCTTCACAGGACCATAAATCACTCGCAGTATTCGTCTTTCGAAGACACCAAGTGCTTCCTCATCCGTTTGTGTTGAATTTCAGGTTTTTGAGCCATACAAGGCAATAACTCGGATAAGCGGTTTTATATAACGTGACCTTGGTTCCTCTGGACAGACTCTTGGACGTAAGAACTTTAACTCTTTTCTAACCTTTCCGAGTTGACTCGAAAAAATTGAAGTAGACTCGAGAGAAAAGTCGAATTGACTCGAACCCTGTCGACTTCGAGCTCTGGTTGAAGGTTAAGTTTTGTTTTATATTTATTGAGAATCCCACATGAGAATTGTACCGCAGACTACAGTTTAAGTAGCACTACAATGTTCACATGCAAACGAAAAACAAATTATTTCTAATTTTAATCACTTTTAAAAAAAACACTAGCTTTCTAGTCACGAGCTATTTTAGTTTTAATATCTTTCAGTTAATTGGAGTTAACAAAGCAGTTATGGGATGTTAAACTACAACCAGACATGATTATTTACATTTAAAAGGAATTTTTTCTAAAACCATGAAGTCAGTAATCTTTATCTTAAACCTCATCACAATAGTTCTTTAAATAGATCCAAAATGAAAAGTTTTATTTTAATCTTAGTTTTTACTTCAATTTTTGTCTTTGGTATTTGATGGAATTGACAAAAAGTTGACTCAAATTTAAATTTTTTAAATGTTTTCAGGTGTTCTTGGAGGTGCATCGAGTTGTGTTGGAATAATAAAATCAGCTTTGTCATTGTCTGATTTTCTACAGGTCGAGTATATCAGAATAATAAAGGAAGGATCTGAAAAGTCATTTGAAGATCAATATAAGCTTGTTAATGCTCTTGCTCAAGCACTTCTAAAACGTTCAAACATTACATTCAGAGATGTTTTATTCCTTAATATTTTAAATAACAAGAAACCTTTTACAGCTTTGTGTCTAATTAGCTTTTATTCTACCTGAATAATTAATTTCAAAAATAAAGGTTCAATAAACTATGAAAAAAAAATAATGTTTAAATAGCCAAACATTTAGTATTCTCATGTCGAGTTTCTATCCATTGTTCCTGGCTACATATATGCTTTAAAAAGGTAAAACAAATTTTTTATTGATGTTTTTTTCTCAAGGCCTGGAAACTCTGGATTAATCCTGAAAAATCCCAAAAATTCCTGAGCCAATAAACATGGAAATTTGAAATCCTTTTTAAATTCCTGATGCATTTAATGAATAATTTAGGGATTTAAAAGGGATTTCACTTTTCCATGTTTATTGGCTCAGGATTTTTTAGCGCATTTTTGAAACTTGTTTTGAAAAGGTAGCTTAATCAGACGCTTTGTTCGTTTGCTCGGCTGCCTGCAAAAACTTTTGATCTAGACATCGTAGAGAGTTCTAGTTTTTTGCGTTAGCTGTGTTCAATCGATTTATTCCGGCGACGAATAGTTAAAAATCTCAAAACCATCAGAATAACTATAATTAATGTTTTTTTTTTATTTCAAAACAATGTAAACAATGTAGCCAACTTCAAGTGGGATAATTTCAAATATATTTTGACCTTAAAAAAGCTTGAATTTCAAAAAACCGTTAAATGACAAATGAAAAATGCGCTTAAGTCCCTCGATCAATAACACGAGGACTTTCGCCAATTTTTTTAAGAATTTTGGGATTTTTCAGGATTAATCCTGAGTTTCCACGCCTTGGTTCTTTTTTTACATCTCGTCTTTTGTCACGAAAAACTAAATTTATTTTTTTATTATAAAAAATATCAAAACCTTTCAGGTCATTAAAAACTCAAGTTGTTCACGAATTTTTCAAATTTCAATGAATAAAAATATAACAAATTGTTGATTCCAAACCAGTTTACATTTTGATATTACCAAGTGCTGCAATCATTAGTGAAATAAAATGAAAATTTTAAGCGTAATTATCACCATCGCTACAATATTAACGTCTGGTAATTATGTTCAAAAGTTTTAAAAAGCGGAAATAAAACAGGATTTTAGGAGACAAAAAAGTTGAAATTACCACAAAATGCAGTATCCATAATTGGCAAGCTATAAGAAATTATAAAATACAGCTTAAAACCATCCTTAAGTAACTGGTTGAATATAAAATTTTGAAAAAAATAATTTCAGGAGTGCTTAGTGGTGGTCCAGCTGACTGTGCCATTGCATATGAAGCTGCATTTTCACTGTCTCAGCTTTTACAGGAAGAATACGCCATGTTAATTACAAATTCAGCCAATCAACCCATTCAAGATCAAATAATGCTGATTGGAGCTGAAGCAGAAGCACTTTTGGAACATCCTGATATAACTGAACAAGATGTTGCTGGCTTGACTATTTTAAACGATAAAACAGCTCATACAGCCATTTGTCTTATCAATTTTTACTCTCAATAGGCTGAATTTAGTGAATAAAAAATTTTATTTTAAATTTTGGCTTAAGTTTTATTTTATTTTCGTTTTTACAACAAAAACAAATGTTTTTTTAATTCTTCTATTCACAATTAATGCTCTTAAAGTCACAATTCATCCATAAAAATAATCATTAACACAATCAGCTGCAATATCTCCTCCAGCTTCAATCATTCTCAATATATTTGCATCTTCAGAACTCAAATCTGAAGAGTCCAAAAAAGCTGAAGTTTGTGCCTGAAACAAAGCAATTTTCTCGTTTGCAGGCTTGCTTCTGTTGTCGTTAGCAAGGTTTATGTATACGCTTCTAATATTAGCTGACAATGTTCTTGCAAAATCGATTAATTCAGAGCACGATGCACCACCTCCGAAAACACCTTAAAAATGGATAAAAGTTGAGAGTTCATTATTATTTTTGGAGTGTAGCAGGTAAGCATAGACATGGGTGGTTCCTTAAACGTAGACAAAATAATTATTAAATATACAGTAAAACCCTTGCTAAGTCGCTGGTTAGTAAATGAAGACATGCAACCAAGACTATGCATGTGGATTCAAACTCTGACCCAAGACATTATTTTAAGGCAGAGTAAGTATAAATACCAGAAGTGAGAACACAAGAAATTATAAAAACTGCACAGAAAAATTTCATTTTTTAATTCTTGAATTCGAAACTTTTTCTCAAAAATTTAAAAAACTGAATGAGTTATTCTTAAAAAAAGGGATGCTTTTATACTTTCAAGCATGATCAGCTGTACCTTAAAATCGTGACACAATAGCCATACACCTCAGATCATAAAAATTTTAATGATTTTTTAAAAACATTGTTGCTTTTAAGACTTAATCACGACAAATAAGCAGAGCTAAAAGTCGATGGGGTTCGAGTTGACTCGACATGACTCAAAACTGAGCCGACTAAACTTTTCTCGGCTCGACTTCATTTTTTTCGAGCTCTGCAAGTAAGTCAAGATTGATCCAAGGCTTTGTTTAAATCGCGTCTAAAACTTCTTTTATCACTTTCAACAGTTTGAGAATTAGGAGTTCCAAAATTCAAAGATGTGGAATTGATCCGTACCTTTTTGATCATTTAATTGATATCCATCGACATCACGAAATGGTTTCAATGATGTCTAAATTATTTTTGTGATTAAGTTGTAATTATTCATTTTTTAACGCATTCTACTTAACAACCATACATACATACATCGCTGGCTTTACAGATCAATTGTGATCCATAGCTTCCCTTAGTTTGCGTCTGAAAAAGACTCTGTCGTTGGCTCCTCTTTGCCAATCTCCAATACCAAATGCTATGCTATCTCTGTCAACAGCTCTCTTCTAGGAATTCTTTGGTCGTCCGCGCATTCTCTTTCCGTCTACAAAATGAGACTTAACAACCAGTGCGATTATATGTCCACAATGAGTGGCTGTTTGTGATCGAATTTGGCGTTAAAATTTTAGTCGTTTTAAGTTTGAAAAAATCTTTAGCTGTACAAAGACCACAATTTGTATTTGGACCTTCACTGACTTCTTCCGTTAAAATTATTTTTGTGACTCACCACAGTCACGATAAGTTAAAAAAGAACAAAGACTTTTATAATGGAAACTGTAGAGGTCCGAAGCTGCATTAAGATCGAGGGGATGAAGCTACATTGAGCGGATAAATAACGGTCACTTTTTGAATAGATATTTTTTGGAGGACTTTCGGAAAATTTTCAGCAAAAAATCGAAATTTTATTGATTTTTCCCATCAGAGGCACTGATTTTATGATTCTTATCGATGTAAAAATCTAAAATGTACACTCCTTTTAATATCATATACTTCTAATCGCTGTATTAATTATTCTTGATTCTTTTGTCAATAACTCGATGACAGAAATCGGAATTTTCAATTTTCATCATCCGAAGATCGAAAATTAGAGAAAACTATTGAAATTAACATTGAATAACTTTTACTGAGTTATAGAACAGACAAAAATCTTTAATTTGGTTGCTTTTCTGTGTGTTTTAAGTCAGTAATTAATGAAATATTTCATTTCTTTGAAAAATTTCCTTCTGCCATCGAGTTATAAAGCAGCTTTTTTTTTGTCTTAATCCATGAAAAAATACAAAATTTTCAAAAATATTTTTTCAATTTTTCACTTAATTTGGGTGAGTTGTAACATTTCAATAGATCAATTGTAAAGAATTAATTATGATTTATGATCTACAAAAGTTCTGGCTTATTATTCCTTCACAGTAATATGAAATTAAAGAAAACATTATATTGACACAAAACTCATTGACATTGGATTATGAAAGCTCATTTTTTCAAATTCCACTCATCCAAAGAATTGCCCATATATGAGTTGAATAAAAAGATTGATTATATTAAAGTATATTTTAACTGTGTTTAGACTCTACAGAAACTTAGTATTTTTTGTACATTTAATCCTGCCTTACTAGCTTCTTTTGTTTACTATTGAATCTGTATTCCTGCAGATTTTAAACTTGCTTTTTAAAAACTTTAGAGCACGTGTTTTACACATTCAGCTATTTTTAAATGTTTAAATAATCGATTTTAATGCAATAATCGTGATGATATTGCCTGTCATCTTAAGTACAATAAGAGTTTGTGATTTCTTATCAACATATAAAAACAGAGCTTTTTTGAATATCAAGCTTAGTGAGCCAGTTTAACGTTCTACTCTTAACACAGCATTAAAATGAATTTTTTGTTAATTTTCGTTGTCACTTTAGCAACTATAACTTCTGGTTTGATTATCTTTGAGGGTGCGGAACTGATGAAACTATCAAAATTATTCAAAAATGATCAATTTGTTTTTCATCAGTTCCACACCTATGATTTTATTAACATTTTAATTTAGAAATAAAAGGAACTTCAAGTATCCGGACTCCAGATGAGAATCCTCAAAAATTAGAGTCCATCCAACTCTGTTTTAATTAAATAAAATCTTGAACATTTTAAATTCTTCCAGATGTCTTCGGTGGGACTGGATGTACAGCCAAAATTAACTTAGCTGCTCAGTTATCAGACTTTATTCAGCATGAGTACATCAACTATATTATTGCAAATAGTAATCATCACACTGGTGCATTAATTGCTGGAATTGGAAATGAAGCTAATAATCTTTTGACAAATATGCCTTCAATGAGTGTTAGTGACTCTATGCTGTTGTCAACGTTGGACGATGGATCTCCATTTACTGCTGCATGTCTTTACGATTATTTCTTGGGTCGAGCAAATGAATAGATTTGATCAGTGATGGTCAACCCATGTGCCGCGGTATACTTGTGTGTCGTGAAAAAAAAAGGGAAATACCACGAACTGTATGATGAGTATAGGCTTACCATCAGGTGTGCCATGGTACAAAAAAGGTTTGCCATTACTAGATTTAATAGATTTTGGATTGGATACACACCAAACTATCCAACTTGCAGCACCAGACCAACCTTAAAAATCAAATATATTCCATAAAATTCTCAAATCTTCTCCAAATAATTGCTAAAATCTCAAAAAATAAATGCAAATTAAAAGAAAATTAAAATAAATTATTCGAAAAATTATCATAATTATATTTAAAAGGAATTGATTCCTCCACATTGTATCGATATAGTGACTCAATTTCAATATTTTTTTTTTTCGAAAATTTTCATGCAATCCCCGCAGTGTTATCACACATTAATGACGAGAAATGAGCAACAGGCAAATTATGATGATGAATGAGTGAAAGGTTGCGGAAAATTTTCGGGCTTTTTATTGGAAAATAAATAAAGTTGAGTTTTGCAAAAGAGTGTGGGGGGATAATATGATGATGTGGGACAATTTTTTGGATATTGTGATTATTTTTGTGGAAATTATTGTTGTGTTGTTTTGTTGAAGTTGTGTGTTAAATGCGGTTTAAAAGATTTAATTAAAAAAATAATTCAATTTAGACTAGTTCACCCCAAGATGATATAATTTTGACTAGCTTGACCCGAGATGATCTAATTTTGACCAACTTGGCCTGAGATGATATAATTTTGACTAGCTCAACCCGAGATGGTCTAATTTTGACTAATTTCGCCCGAGAGGATATCATTTTGACAAACAAACTCCGAGATGATGAAATTTTGTGAAACTTGATTTTGAAACTTGGCCCGAGATGATATAATTTTGACAAACAAACTCCGAGATGATGAAATTTTGTGAAACTTGATTTTGAAACTTGGCCCGAGATGATATAATTTTGACTAGCTCACCTAGAGATGATTTAATTTTGACTAGCTTAACCCGAGATGGCCTAATTTTGACTAGCTCGACCTGAGTTGGTCTAATTTTGACTAGCTTGACTCGAGATGATAAAATTTTAACCAGCTCAACCCGAGGTGGTCTAATTTGGATTAATTTGACCCGAGAGGATATCATTTAGACAAACAAACCCCGCGATGATGAAATTTTGTGAAACTTGATTTTGAAACTTGGCCCGAGATGATATAATTTTGACTAGCTCACCTAGAGATGATATAATTTTGACTAGCTTAACCTGATATGGTCTAATTTTGACTAGCTCGACCCGAGTTGGTCTAATTTTGACTAGCTTGACCCGAGATGATTTAATTTTGACTAGCTCGACCCGATGTTGTCTAATTGTGACAAAGTTGACCCGAAATGTTATCATTTTGCCCAGCTCGACCCTAGATGATTTCATTTTGGGAGATGATCTGGTTTTACCAGTTCGATTCAAAATGTTCAAATTAAGATAATTTCGACTGCAAGTGATCTAATTCTCAATCTTATTCTAATACTATCCGTATTTGACAACTTAAAATTCAGAAAAATCTCTAAAAGCATTTAAAATAGACCCATATTGTACCATAAGAAAGCTTAACTCATTATTATATTCAACGATGTCACAAACATAACCTCAATCTTCCATTCCCATACAATTTTTACAAAAGACTCTCTGTCCACTAATTAACGCATCATCCTGAATTATCCATCTCAATTCACCTTAATTACATTTTCATCCTCGCCCCAACCACCAACAATAAAAATAAAATAAAAATCCTTTCCATTAATAAGAACCCATCATCACCATAAAAACTAATTCACCTCATTTAAATTCCACACTGTCGCCACCATTTCACCGCCAATTCAGTAAAAAGAATAAACCTAAAACCACGATAATGTGACTTTACTCTCTACATCTCAATGTCTGGTCGGTCATCTCACCTCGATTTTTATTTTATTTCAACTACTTTATGTATACTGCGATAGAAAAAAAGAGGAGGCGAGGAAGTGAATAAAAAAATCGTCGAGGCAACGACTCTTCATCAAATGAAACCAAATTCACACATATATGGATGTTTTATGTGAGCTGGCAAAGCACATACGATGCTGAATGTTGTATAGGGAAGGGTTTGGGTGGTGAAAGAAAAAATAACAAACATGAAGGCATTTTGTGAGTGGTGTACAAAAACAATCAGCAACGTTCGCTGCTTTTTATTTTGAGGCAGAATTAAAAAATAAAACTAACAGAATAAAAAAAGTGAAAGAGAAAAAAAGTGCATGAAAGATATTCAGGGAATGGGGGAAGAGGAGATTTAATGAAGACAAGTAAAATTTATTTGTGAGGTTATTATATTATTAAATTTATTATAAGCGCATTTGTCATAAAAGGATCTACATTTGAAAAACTAAGATTGACATGATTGGCTCAAGATAACCAAGCTTAACGATTAACCCGAGATGACCAAATTCAACACTCGACCCGAGATTATAAAATATTTTGTTCAAACCAAGATGAACCAAATTTAATGCTCGACCCGAGATTACCAGATTTAATGCTTGACCCAAGATGACCAAATTGTATGCTCAACCCGAGATGACCAAATTCAACACTCGGCCCGAGATTATAAAATATTTTGCTCGACCCAAGATGACTAAATTATATGTTCAACCCTAGATAACCGAATTCAACCCTTGACCCGAGATAATCAAATGTTATTCTTGACTCAAGATGGCCAAATTGTATGTTCAACCCAAGATGAAATGAAATTTAACGCTCGACCCGAGATAATCAAATGTTATTCATGACACAAGATGACCAAATTGTTATTTAACCTAAGATGACCAAATTCAACGCTTCACCCAAGATGACCAAATTGTATGTCAACCTAAAATGACCAAATTTAACACTCGACTCGACATTATAAAATATTTTGCTTGACCCAAGATGACCAAATTGTATGTTCAACCCGAGATGACCAAATTCAATACTCGGCCCGAGATTATAAAATATTTTGCTCGACCCAAGATGACCAAATTGTATGTTCAACCCAAGATGAAATGAAATTTAACGCTCGACCCGAGATAATCAACTGTTATTCTTGACTCAAGATGACCAAATTGAATGTTCAACCCAAGATGACAAAACTCAACGCTTATCCCAATATGATTGAATTTACAAATATTTAAGATAATGTCAATTTGAACTTAAAAGACAAACTGCCTTAACATTCAACTAAAACTAGATTTCACCCTCCAAAATTTTTCCTCGAAAAACTTTTCGCGATTTTTTTTTCTCATTCATTTTTTATTTTATATCCTCGCTGGTTTGAGTATGAATTGGTCATTCGTCTGAAGCATTTTACTGCTTCTGCACTGACCACCATCATCCAATACCACCCAATATAATGCTGTGTATTTCATTCTATACATTCCTCACAAGTCACATAACATATACAGAATTTTGTATGCTTTATAATCGCGAAAGCAGTGAGGATGATATGGAGATAGATAGATGGACTGTATTTATTTCCCTCCGAACCAACATTTTGATATAAAATACGAGAGATGCGGAAAAAAATTTCCAGTGTGAATATTTAATTTTCATTTTTTTGTGTGTTTGTATTTTGTGAATGTTTTAGAGTTCATAGTTTAATGAAATTTGAGATAAGCGTGAAGGGAGTTTTGTCTGTATGAGAACCGAGAGGACTAAATCAGTGGAGCTTGATCTGAGATGACTGAAACTTTTGAACTCAACCTGAATGGACTGAATCTTTAGAGAACGACCAGTAATGGCATAATCTTCAGAACTTAAGTTGAGATGGCTCGACCCGAGATGACTGAGTCTTTAAAGATGAATAAATTTTGAAGCTCGACCCGAGATGACCAAATTTTGAAGCTCGAGTCGCGATTATTGAATATTTAAAGCTCGACATAAGATGCCAGAATTTGTAAAGTTCGAACTGAGTCGACCGCATCTTTAGAGTTTGACCCGAGATGACAAAATTTTTCAAAAATGCGCTTTGTCCTCAATTTATCTCATCTTTAACCTTAAAAATTCCCGCGATTTCAAAAAAGAAGAGAAATTTTTTCCCAACTCATATCCATTTTTGCTTCACATCCACCTCACCTCTCTCCTGCTGCCTTGTTATTTTTTCTCGTCTCTGATCGCTTGTGTATTATTTTTTCGCTTACAATATTTTTTTTTGTGACTACGCGAAACAGCAAAGAGAACAAAAGCGAGTGAGAGAGTGAGAAAAAAAAATTATAGAATCGACCGCGATAGTGTGAGAATGGTGGACACATATGAGATGAAAAAAAAATGTGAACATGCATGCAGAAATTTGAAAATTTGGAATGAGAACGGAGTTTGGCAATTTTTTCCATTCAGGCACTCGACCACCTCTTTGAATAATGATTACTTTTTTTATCGCTTATATTTCCAATTCCTATTTTAAACATAATCATGATGTATGGAGCTGTTGGTCATTTTTATAGGGAGAATTTTTTTTAATGGAAATGGTGTTCTATTTGATGGTATTGCTTGTGAGATTGTGTTGATGCAGATGCTTAAATTTTGCATGAATTTTTTTTGCCGTCGATATTTAGTATAAAATCAAGGTTTCGAGAACATCAAAACACTTTATCCTAATCAATTCTCAGCTATTATCCTGCTTAGATTTGAAAGCAGTGAGGTTCACATGTAAATCTAGAGATCTTTAGTTTTCCATTTCAATCCTCAAAATAGAATACAATAAATTTGACTCTTACGCAGGGTATGACAGCATACGGGATAGAAGGGTGTTAAGACAACATTTAAAGAGTTCAAAAAATTTAAATTTTTAATAATTCCTTTCACCCTATGACTAAGATTCAATTTTTTATAGCTTTTGTTTACATTCACATGAGTCATTTCTAATGACCAAACTAGTTCTTCTAATTCAGTATCTTTTCAGCCATTTTTACTCATCTTAGCATTCACGATTTGGTTTTTGAACTGTTGTTTAGTTA